TCTTTAAGAAAGACCAGTGAAAGATATTGTGTTTCTATATAAAAGTCGAATATTTAATAATGTATACACTGCTTTTTGAAAGAAAGATTCTAAGCTATAGTCAATTTCATTAAAAAAGACCAATGAAAGATACTATGCTGCCATACAAAAGTCGAATATAAAATAATGTGTTCATTGCTCTTTGAAACAAGGATTCTATAACTATAGTCGATGTCATTAAGAAAGGCAAATGAAAGATATTTTGTTTCTATATAAAAGTCGAACATATAATATGTTAATGTATATATTCCTCTCTGAAAGAGAAGATTCTGTAACTACAGTTGTTCTCATTAAGAAAGGCAAATTAAAGATATTGTGTTTATATATAAAAGTCGAACATTTAATAATGTCTATACTGCTCTTTGAAAAGAAGATTCTGTAACTATAGTTGATTTCAACAAGAAAGGCAAATGAAAGATATTGTGTTTCCAAATAAAAGTCCAACATAAACAATGTCTATACTAAGTTGGCTCGTTTTATAAATATAGTATGTATGTATGTATGTATATTTATTTTCATTTTAAATTTCATTTTTACAATATGATGTATCTTAAATTAATATATAAATAAATATAAAAATAAATATAATTAAAATAGCGACTGTGACACGATGTCGTCCGTAAATATAGTATCAATTAGTATTTTACATATGAACCCTGTATGATCTACCAAATTTTACTCGCTAAAAAATTATTATCTATTGCTTAATGTTTTCTAGCAACCAATATCTGAAACAGATACTCGTACCTTCTGTTTTTTTCAACAATAAATGTATAAATATGCATTATATAGCGGAAGTACATTTTACTATAAATATTAATCGGAAATTAGATCAATCAACTAAAAATATTTAAAGCAGTTTTTCTATTATAGCAGGCAAGCGTTAATCTATGGAATGTTAAATACATTGACTCTCTGACCTCTACGGCTAATAACATGCTTTGAAAAAGTTTTGTGTAACAGATCATTCCACTTTGAATTTTTGCTACCATAACTTCGTATTTACACATTATCGCCAGCTAATATAATGCCAGCTAATGTCAAGAGAAAAGTAGGTGAGGTTTTTTTAACCCCGCAAGAATTTAGCATTATCATTGCATTAAATGAGAGCTACATTTTATGATTTATAAAAATTTAAATAATATTTTTTTTTAGCATTTATAGTATAAATTATACATGATCCAATCGAAACGATTGCTAGGCTGCAACATAAATTCAATTGAAATGCATAAAATGCATGAAATGCAGTTCTTGGAACGAATGGATGATTGACTTGAGAGTTTAATTGAAAAAAATGAATTGTTTTTCTGTAATGGGATTTTTTTGCATAATTATTATTTATTTTTTTTTTTTTGTTTTTGTACAAATAAGATTAATGTTCTACTTTTCCTTATTGTTATGTAGATTTTAATTTAATTGTGCGCTTATAAATTAGTTATTAGAAAAATAATATAAGAAAATAGTTCACAGAATTAAACTGGAAAATGCCGATAGGCTGATGCAATTTAATGCTTCTATTTCTATAGTCATCATTCAATGAAAATTAAATTAAAATAATTTATGAACACTGACAACAACAACAACAATGAAAATAAATACTATAAAAAATTCAAAACTGCAAAAAAATTATAAATTTAAATTTGAGATACAATTCGAAACAGCTGTCAATAGAAAAGTATTTTATATGAGAGTAGCAAACGCGCTCGTAACAGTAAAACTATTTAAATAAATATAGAAACTGAAGTGTATAGAACAATGTGAATAAAAAAAAATTATTAAATGACTATTGTTTGTTATAATTGTAGAATAAAGGTAAGTACTATGTACTAACATTGTACATACAAAATGCATGAACATTTATTTAAATTAATCATACGTCATGCGGTACGAAAACGTAATTAAAATATCTGTATTTATGGAAACACCCTTTGCGACAACAAACAACTGTTGCTACTGCTATTGCTATTGCTGTTGCTGTTGCTGTTGTGGACATGTGTTGCTCTTAGTTTATTGCTATTAATATGACAATTATTTTTTTTATGATTTTAACACATATTTTTCATTTTAATGTCGTGACGTACTCGTATCTAGATAGATCTAAAATAGTTTGAGTTCAGTTAACCACAAAATGCGTCAAAATTTGATAGAGAAGATAGTTTATTTCACTTTGTGAGTTATACTTTTAACTAAGCTATTTCCTAAAAAGTTTTTAATTTTTGTTTATATACCCGTATGTATTTCTCAAATTAAAATCACATAAATTATATTGTACGAGTGCTGCGAGTGCTGTGAGTGTTTGTCTATCTTCTGACAAACGAAACCACTTAAAAGTATTTCAATCTATTTGAATTACTTGAGTTAGCCAGTCAAACGAATGAGTTCACACGTAAACGGTATCTGGCATGAGCTCATACTGGCGGGTACAACGTAAACAGGTGTTTGTTAGTTGAGTAACTATTTACAGTTTGAAGAATAGATACAATACGGCTACAGTAGAGTGTAACAATAGACAGATAGTTACTTACAATTGTAGACAAGCACAGCTAAGAAAACAAACAGAAGCGAATCGCTTGGAGAATTTTCAGAGATGTTTTTTTTTGTATATCGTAATTAGTAATTTTTTATTTATTCGATATAATTAGTAACATTTTTAAAAATAGTAATCTTCATTCATATGACTTTGTGTATATTCATTTTTATTATACATTTATTTCACAATAGCTTCAGAATATTGTTTTTTTATGAAGAAGTTAACTTATATGGTTAAAAATCAAATTATTTATTAAATAAAATATATATTTATTTGAAAATATACTTTTATTTCATTATTATTATTTGGTGTTATAAGATACTTATAATTGATTCAATATAGTTTTCCATATTTATTTGTTAAATTCTAATTGTTTTTAATCACATTAAATTATAATAAGCAAATAGTGTATAGTTTATATCGATTATAATAACTTAATTATTATCATTAATATAATAACATTAATAACATATCACTATTCTATGTAGTTTCACTTTATTTTTTTTAGTGGTGAGGAGGTGGAATGTGCGTCCCACTCCTACTTTATAATAAACGAACTAAAACATCCTTTCTTCTTCTGAGGAATTTTCCAACCGGGGACCACTTTCGCGTTAGTTCAGGGAGGATCCCCTCGTAACACCGGTGTCCAGACTCCCACACCTGATCCGAATTGAAAAGTCAACAGATATTGCTCTTCGTTTTAGATTAGTTTACTTCCACACTTTCCTTCTTTTCCCTTAGCACATTTCCGATGAATTGTGTGATTTTGTTCCACTTTTCTGTTCGTTCTGTCATTTTTTCTGAATCTTTAAACAATCGCTACACGCGTTTAGAAAACTAACTAACAGAAGTAGTGGGGTTAGTGCACGTGAGATTAGTATCGTAGGTAAGAACTATTTTTTGAAGTGACTACGTTTTAAGTTGGAATACGATGCGTACTACATTTAGGGTCCTGATTAGGGTAGACCTAATAAACCCAATTTAGCAGAACTAATAAATGCAGAACTATTTTTCAAGGCATAATATGTTTGGTTTAAAGTTTGTCCAGTGGCGTAACTACATTTTTTAGGCCTGTAAGCAAATTCTAACTAAGGGGCCCCTACCAACATACTAAGGGGCCCCTCTTTTTATACTCTTTACACGAAAAAATGTGAAAAGGATATATAAGGTTTGTCAAGATTTTCGTAACGCATTATAGGAAACGTCGGAAATACCATTAAGTATATATCAGTACAATATATATATACTTTTTCAGTTCAAACTACTCTCTCAGCTTTTGAACTCTTCGAATGAAACTTTACACACATACTTTTCACCATTTGATTTGATTGAAATTGGACGTCTATTTCTTGTAGCTGTGATATAAACTTAACAATCGGATATGAGGTTTCTCCGTTTTTAATAAAGGTATTCAAATGGAATTTGGTGTATACAGTACTGATATTTGCAAAAGACAACGTACAAAATTATTTTCAAATGGGTTTAAATCTAAATATAGCTTCCATATAAGTCTCTCGAGTAAGACACATATTTTTCTTAGAATCACTTTTTTATTTTATAAATAGGTTTAATATTTTATTTGAAGTACATACATATTATGTACTTTAAATTTAAAATTTACGTATCTTTTATAAAATGCAATATGAAGTTATTCCAACAAAAAACGTTTCGTCCCACTTTTGAGAATTTTTTAAAAATAAATACAATGAATACAAAAATTTATAGTGGGGCCCCCTAAATTCGGGGGCCCGAAAGCGTTGCTTCCAGTTGCTTCCCTGTAGTTACGCCACTGAGTTTGTCATATAATAATATGTATTGTTTAACACCCGGTGAACATTCTCTTTAAATTTTTCTTAGTGGTGAGTGATGATATGAGTAATGAGGCTCCTTTCTTGCTTGCTAAATAATTTAACAAATAAAATTGTAATATTTTAGGCAACAAAGCAATGAAACTTTAGAATAAATTATCGAAAAAAAATTGTCGAATTATTGGTATTCCAAGGTAAGAATGCCTGTTGTAAATGGGGACCTCGTTACCACCATCTTGTCACTATCTTATCACCAAGAACTATCACCTGAGCTATTTATACAAATGATCAAGCTAATATGAACATTTGGCTGTGGAATTGCGAGCTATATACCAAAAAACATAAATTCCCTCAGAAGGATCCTCAGAATAATCAAAATTTTTGTTGTACTTATGGAGCCACTAAATGAATAACCCTGAACTGTGATCTACTAATTGCCAGTCCAAAATATACCAGATCAACACCAACTTTCATGGTGGCATTTTTAATTCACTTAAAGATGCTTCCTTGTGATATGATGATAAAAAATAAATAATTGTCTAGCAAAGTAAATGTTTATTAAAGCAACATAATTATATATGTATTCTGAGAGCAGATTAAAAATAAAATATTTGCACCGGAAAAATTCTTAAGATTTATTCTGTTAGATATAAACTAAATTACAGGATCTTTTTTATATGCATTGAAATGTTGCGAATTTTTCTATTATTCAAATTAGATGATATTTTCTAGGAACAATGAAATTAGAAATATTTTTTTACTGTTCAAATTAGACAACTTAAGCATTTTTCGTTCATCAAGGGCGTGAATGTACGTCAAGTAAGGGCGTGGGAGTACGAATATTGTTAATTTCCATCAAGCAAACCCACTGGTACTATAAAATACAAAATTCAGGCAAATTTATTATTAAATTAAACTTCAGGTGTTACCGTCAAATCTGGTAAGAATAGAATAAAAGACATGAAACATAAACTTTCCGCTCTCCAACTAATCTCACAAATACTGTTCATATAAACCTCCATATGTATCAAATTCTTAGGTCAGCACAGCACTCAAATCATCTGCAAAATGAATCCTTTTTCTAAAAATATGTTCATGTGAAATGTGTACGTAATACCCATTGACATAGCAATTTGCAGGAGATACTCTTATGCAGGAGTTATTTTCGATAACCGTCAAATGCATCCTCGATTTACTATAGGTGAACTGTGTACATAATACCTATATTAGTTCGGAAATGATCGTATTTCGGTATCAGTTATTTTCATTTCTCTAACTGTGTGCCGTTGGCATAGTAATTTGCAGGAGATACTCTTATGCAGGAGTTATTTTCGATAACCGTTACGTGCATCCTCGATTTACTATAGGTAAAATGTGTACGTGATACCTATACTAGTTCGGAAATGATCGTATTTCGGTATCAGTTATTTTCATTTCACTAACTGTGTGCCGTTGGCATAGTAATTTGTGGGAGATACTCTTATGCTGGAGTTATTTTCGATAACCGTCAAAAGCATCCTCGATTTACTATAGGTATCATTAGCTTAAATATTTCTTTTATTAGTACTTTAAAAAAAATTGCATCCATTACATACCAAGAAATATTTAATATACGGCTCCGCATTCATAAAATAGATGAAAATATTTGTGAAATCTGTAATAAAAATGAATTATATTTCAAATATGAAATAATGTAATTGTATTTTCACTAAATAGTATATAACATTTTTTACCGGTTTTTTAGAGATTCATATCTATGTCTATAGAAACTCAGCCAGTACAAAAAAAAATTCTTCCAAATAGTAATAATCAATAATTAAGTGGTGTAAGGAAAAATTTTACTAAAAATTTAATCCCACAAATTATGACATATTTTAAATTTAATAAATTTACTTATTAAAAAACCATTAATGCTGATGAAAAGTAACTTAACCAACTAGATTTCCATTCAGATTTCCAACTCCAACACTATGTGAGGAGTTTGCTAGGGATAACAGTGGGAGCTCGGACTAGTTGGTCTGAACACATGATGATTCGTTTAGTCTTTGCTGATGATCAAAATATGAATGAGTGAAGTGATAGTAGTCTAGTTGCCTACTGCTTGACTTATGCTGGCTTAGGATAATTTAACCAGTCATCCAAACTTCCATTTGGCCAAAGCTGATGGAGGAATGGATGACGAGTGACCAACACGCTTGCAGAGTCCACAGGTTTGATTGGCTTTAGCAAGGTGAAGTTTCACTTAATTTTTAATAATTTTCCACTTTCTTAATTTTTTTTTTTCGCTATTTAATTTCTCCCTTTTGAAGATTCTACGCGAGCACGACTTTCTACGCTTATTCAAGCCGCTTACGCTTTTCGGAATTTTGCCCTATTGAAGGTTCAGCGTGGGTACTAGTTTGTACGTTTATTCTGTTGCTTCAACGCTTTCGCTTTTGAAATCTCTTTCTACTTCAGCGCTTACCCTTTTGGCATATCGTTCGGTCCAGTCATCTCAACAGTTATACTTTTTGGAAATTCGTTCGTTCCCGTCATTTCAACGCTTACGTCTTTTGGAATTTTGTTTATTCAAGCCGTTTCAACGATTACGTCTATTAAATCCACTTTAACTCTCGCGCTATATGTAATTTTTTTTTCTGGTTCAAGCTTTACATAATTTAAGAAATGAAATACAAATATAAGGCAGCAGAGTTGCTTTTTATTTAATTCTTATAACGAACCCTAGTATATTAACTGAGTTATACCCCAGCTGTAGATAGAGCCAGAAAGGTCGTTACATTGAAGATAAGAAGTTACAATTTCACTGTAATAACATCGGATTTTAATAGTAGATTATTTTGAACAGACTTAACTTAAATATAACTAAATGTATTATAATAATATATTGAATATTATATACACACTTATATAATTCGTACGTAATGAAGTTAATAATCTAAATATAGATTGTGCATTCATAGCTATGACAATCGTTAAATGATAACATGAATAATAGTAGAGAATTCATACAGGTTCGGTTTATTTTAGACAAAGAGCTCTACGGTTACAGACGTTTCTTAAAATGTGGTCTCCAAAAAAAAAAACACTAAACAACAATTGATGAATCAAGACTTCCATTAATTTGTGGTCTGTTGGGTTTCAGTACTCTTTACCAAATATACAATATATCACTTATTCGACAGACACATTGAAGACGTTTTTTTTAAATAATATAGGTAGACTAAAAGTATACAGGATACATTAAATCTCTTAGGTTTCAGTGTTTTCTGCAAACAAGAAGTTGTCAATTCCACTAATATATAACAACTACTAAACTATTATAAGGGAACAAGGTATAATTTTTATATTCTCTTCTCTTCTATTCATATCTAAGTCCGCCATGTCTAAGTCATTCTTATGAAGCTTGGGGACTAAATCATCGTTTCCTCCTGTTGAGCTCAACTTCCTGTGAATCGTTTGCAAGAATGTTAAGTAAATTATTGTTAAAAATAATTTTGTTTTGACAATGATTTTTGGTTAAATTTCTGAAGACACAAAATATGTATCTCTTAAAATAAAAATTTTTTTGTGGCCTTTTAGTGACCCAAATATTTAGAAGAAAATCGGATTGTAGTTTCAAATTTTACACTCTAAAAATAAATGTAAAACCATTGAACAATCAAAAAAGTGATTTTAATAATCATCCATATGCATGAGTAGTGATTGAATTTATTTATTTACACCTATTTCAAGATGGTATATAGGTCACCTCTTATCTCTCAGAACTTCCACCTACAAAATCTTTACTATATTTTTTAGAAGATACTATTACTTCATCCTTCTTGCTATCACGTGCAAATAAATGAAAACAACACATTTTCTACTATATTTGAACAATTATCACTAATTAAAAACGGGACAGTTTCACGTATCTTTTAAGTGCACAACAATCCCCAATCAACGGAAAAATAAATAAAAAATGCTCGGCGATTGAGAGAAAACATTTTTGAAATTTTAAACGTTTTTTGTCATCGCTCATTTTAACTTAAGTTTTTAGTCGACTCATTATTTCTTTTAATTTAATTTTAATTAAATGTTTTGTAATGTTTTTTTAAGAATTTCTATTGTACGAGTATTTAAAATGATTTCAAAATCTGCACTAAATTGTTTCATTGAAAAATATTTAAAAAATGTTCCCTGCAGCAAAAGTAGAAGAGCCCAAACGAGCCAAAATATGCGACGCAGCTGCCGTAAGAATCAACCGAAAATTGCATTGAGAAAAATTGTGGCACCAACAAAAAAAAATTTACTAAAATCGCAAAAAAATAAATATTACAAAAAATATGTGAAAAAAAAAGAAAACAAATTAAATTGAAATGAAAACTCAATTTCATTCACAATCGTAAAAAAATTTGTGAGCAATTGCAAAACAAACGGAAGAGGGAAAGATTAACAAAAACACTGCCGACACTATAAAATCGAAACTATGCAAAATTAACTCAGAAATTAATGACCCAGCGGTGTCGGTTTTCAATTAATAGAACTCTGAAATACTGAGTTGGAACTATAGCTACTTAAAAGCAATTTAAAATTTAAGACCAAGGGGACCGGGCTTATCACTGCAAACAACTTTATGCGAAATATTAAGTCTTACACAGCAAACAAAATATTCAAACAGTGAGTTTAAAACTCCATTGGGCCATGTTGTACAAACATGACAATTTTACGCTCTTTTTGAAGACTTCCAAAAGGCATTTTATAAAGAAAGTCATATCACATTTTTCAATTTTCTATTCTACTATAACTATTGTTTTAGGAGGTTTTTAGGTACCTAAATTTAAAACATATTTCTTTTTTGTATAGATATGCTTACATGTTCATACAAAAACACATATAAATAGTTCAAATAAGTAACACTGTAACACTGAGTAACACTGTTTTGATCAACCTTTCGAGACATACAAAGCCCGACCAAATTTCTCTCTTCTCCTTAATCTCAATTTTTTTTTTATACACTAAAAACAACAACAATATCAAATTTGAGGTGACGATGCCTTTCCGTATAGCATGACCTATTGAGTTGAACTATATTGGCAAAAAAACATCACAATCTTCTATTTTTCACTACTTACCAACAGGATATTGGGAAATTACTACTAATACTACTAAAAGACTAAGTAAAACGTATTTTCTTTAACAGTAAAACTGGAAGGATACAAATTTTTTTATTGAAGCCCATGACACTAATTAGCACCCATCATAGGACATTTAACAGTAAAGTTAGTGTCTTATTAATAATAAATTTACAACATAAGGTATTGAGGCTTTCAGTGCAGCAGGAGATTAAGACCTCGACAGATTTTATATAATGCAAGCAAATTTCTAATAAAATAAAAAACTTACTACTTCTTGAAGATAAACCAGATTATCTTCTATTGACGTGTTTATAATTACCAACGGCTTCTTCCCCACTGCTCCCCCAAAATAAGCAATATTGCTGGACTTACCAACGTAAAAGTAAAAGTGCTTATAGCCTTCTAGAAAATCGCAATAAATCTATAGTAAGAAAAATTTTTAACCCAATTGAGCTTAAAAAACAAAAAGACAATGAAAAAATAGAAAAAAAAATCAAAGAAAATGAGAGAAAAATAAAGTTTCACCTTTATATTCTGAAATATCAGTGGACCACAGTGCGTATGAGTATTTATTTCATTTCAAGCATAATTTAGACATTTGTGTATTTATTTTCAAACGGGCCAATTGATCAATAAATAAATAATGCAACAGAAAAATGAAACAATATATAAACAAAATAATAATGATCACTAAATAAATAATGCAAAAAAAAAAATAAAATAATATATATAAACAAAATACAAAAAACAGATTATAAAATTAAAAATATGAAAAAAAAAAATATACAAATATCAATATTATTATTTTTAAATATTTAAATATATTTTTTAAATTAATTAAAGAAAGTTGTGACTTTTTAATATCACTAAAACAAAATAACATATATAATTAATTGTTGTATAATTGTGAAAACAAAAAATTGTTTTTGTTTTAAAGCTTCAACAAACTATCTTGCATTTTAGTTTATGTATTGTAAATTTCATGAGCATAAAAGCAATTGAAAATAATATATGTGATATAATTAAATATGTTTTTGTCAATTTAGATTTTAAGTAAAATTCTATAATTTTTGTGAATGCTGTATGGATTTTTTTTTCATTAAATATAATATGAACTTTTGACACTCAATTTACCTTAGAGACTCATATATTAAGCTCATCATCTTTATGGTCTATCCCTAATAGAAGTACAAGTCTCCAAAAGACTTAGCACTTAATTATTGTGTAGATACTCACTTGGAACACTTGGAACTAGACTACATTTCTTGAAAACATCTTTTTCAAGGATCTCAGAAAACCAACAGAAATTGGGTTAAAATTCTCAAAAGGAGTTCTAAGCAAATAAATCAGAAGTAGAAATAGAAATTCTTATTTAATAAAAAATTACTTGAATAGAAAACCACTTATAGTTAGCTTTAAAGAAAAACGCAACGATATCTCTCAAAGGGTTTCACTTAAGTTTAAGCTTAAGTTGAAGAAATTAAAGATTAATCAACTTTTCTGAAAGAAAAAGTGATTAAATGTGGTACACATTAGTATTACTAAAGTATATTATAAATTCGAAAGACGTATTTTCCATCCTAGTTTCAGAGCACTAATTTATTGCAATTTATAATGAACCATATAAATTATTCCCTTTTCGTGAATCACTTAAAGAAGATATAAAATATAAAAATAAAGATAATAAATATAAAAATAATATATATAAAAATAAAAATAATCAAAATCAAAATGCAAATTAAATAAAAAAAAAGAAAAATCCAAATTATAAAAAAAAAGTACGATTAAAAATTTTCAAATAAATAAGAGAATATTTATTACCAAAAAATCAAGAACGTTTTTGAAACCAAAAAAAAAAAAAAATTAAGTTACACTTTAAATTTATGCCCAAAACGCCCCTGCACTCAAATTATTGCACTGACACTCACACACACTCACTCACACATACGAAAAAACAAACGAAACAAGAACAATTAAGCCAGTGGCCAAAAGCATTCGAACATATACAAGAAGTTTTTCTGTTTTGTTTCGTTTTTGTTTTTGTTTTTGCTTTTGTTTCTGCATTTCTGCATTCTGGCATTTTGAGCGCACACGCCAAATGCTTAACGCCAGCCGCTGCCATTTTCATTTGTTTGAAGACATTTTTTCATTTTTTCGAAATAAAAAAAAAAAATAAAAATAAAATAACAAAATGGAATGCAATTTTCTATAAAAACAATTTGAAATTACTACTAACAGCTCTTAAGTTCTAATGCTAAGTAACTCAAATAAAATACTAAACAATCACAAAAAAAAAAAAATTAAAAATTAACACAAAAAAAAAAAACAAGAGAAGAGAAACAGCATTTCAATTTGGACTTTGTCACTTGAAATTTTGGCAAGCGAATTTGTGTGCGTTGCAATGGCGACAAAATGCCGCCTAAATGCTTGCCTTCTGTTCGCTTGCAAAACGCATTTAAATCGAAATTCGCACAACAAAAACAAAACCAATTTAAATTCGCAAAACAAAAAGGGCAACAACAGCAACAACAATGCCCTAATGTATAGAGTACACAGAGTACACATACGCACACACACACACGCTCAAATATGTTTCGTTGAAATTGAGACAGCATATGGTATTTAGCGGTTTCGTTGCTGTTGCTGGTGTTGTTGTTATTGTTGTTTGGTATTATTATTGCAACTAATTTTGTTGGTTATTTTATGCATTCAACACTTTTGTTATTAAAATATGAATAAACTTCATTATTGTTGTTGTTGTTTTTGCTCATTGGCTGCAGAGTTTTTCCTTCATTATGCAGTCAAATATAAGCTCATGGCAAGTCCCTTTTGCACACTCGCGTGTAATCCGGCTGCATAATTAAGCTTTCCTTAAGGCATTGCCAGGCAATAATCTAAGTAAAGCTTAAATTGAAATAATTTTCTTTTTGCTTTCCAACTTTGTTTTCAGTTTAGAAAATACAAATTATATTGAATATTTTGCATTGTAAAAAAAATATAAATATAAATGAATTTAAACTAAAACGGAGTGACTTCATTAAATTTAAATCAGATTTAATAATATATATTAAATATAAATAAATAAAAATACCATACTATAAAATAATATAGTATATATTCATAATAATATAGACTAATATTCAATAGTAATAAACAAAGAATAATATAATATATAATAATATATAATATTATTGTACATTAAAGATGGTCTACGAAGCACACCGAAATATTTGTAATATAAATAATTTTGTATAAAAATTAAAAGATAATTAAATACTAAAAACATTTATAATTTTATGTGTTAAATAAACTATCTGAGCCCGGTAACAATAAAAAACTAATAAAATAAGTTTAAAATAAAATAAAATAAAATAAAATAAAATAAAAATTTATTTTATTCTTATAAAAAATTATGAAATAATAATAATGTAGTAATAATATAATAATAAAATAATTAAATAGTAATAATATTTAACTCGATTGAATAAAATAATATACTGCATTTACTGCAAGATAAAATAAAAATTGAAGAAAATAAAATATAATAATAAATAAAAATATAACAATAAAGTAAAATAAATATATATAATAATACAGTAAAATAAAATAAAATAAAAATAACATGAAACTTAATCAAATGTAATAAAATAAAAATAATTAAATAAAATTAAATGCAAAAATACAATAATAAAAAAATATATTATAAATATTATATAGTTAAATCAAATAAAATAAAATTACATGAAAGTCAAAAAATAAAATAATATTATATGATGTAGAAAAAGTAAAGTAAAATAAAATGAAATACGATGTGACAAAATTAAATTAAATAAAAAAAAAATAACGTAAAATTTATATAAAAAAGAACTAAAATAAAAAAATACACAACACTATAAAGTATAACAAAATAAAACAAAATAAAATAAATTAAGTAAAAATAATATGAAACCTTATAAAAAACTGAGCTAAAAAAAATTATTAAACACATTAAGATAATATTTATAAATAGACAAAAATATAAAAGAAATATAAAATAAATATTATATGAAAATCTTAATCCAGGGAGTTTTTGATATCTTATAACAAGGATCTTAAGGTGAATAGTGTACGCTTAGATGAGCTAACTGGAATTGTTCCCAGAACCAAGATATGACCTAACGTAACTAAAGATAAAATTAAAATAAATGAACTGAAGTAAAAAAAAAATCAAAATAAAATAAAATACATTAAAATAAAATACATTAAAATAAAATACATTAAAATAAAATACATTAAAATAAAGTACATTAAAATAAAATGAATCATTAAATGGTTCAGAAAACTATGGAGCACAACAAAATGAAACAAAATAAAGGAAATTAAAATAAAGTAATAGGAATAATAGTCTCATACGGGCTCATGAATAAAAAATATATGATCAGGATGAAAACGATTGAAAACGTCAAATTTAATTATCCAAATTTTTGATTATTATTATTATAAAATTTTTTATTCGTTATTTGTGCCAAAAGACCGGAAATTCTCGAACCCAAAAAGGGAAACCAAAAAGAAAATAATTAGAATTTATTAGCACATGGTCTATTATTCATAAAACCATGTCCTTACACACTTTCAAAGCGAACTATCTACACATAATTATTTTAAAAACTTCTATTTTCACTTACCAGTTGAACTTCATAGCGGCATTAAACCCAGCCAAATTTTCAAACCCGGCTATTTAGAGGAAAAGTGGTAGCAACTCCAAAACTTTTAATCCCAGCTGTATCGCGGTGAAAAATATATGAGGCACTCACATTTTTTCTCAATAATGCCACATAGTTCACCTGCTCAACATGAGTCCATCGACGAAACGCCATAGAAGATTTTACAAAAGCAGGCGATGTCAAGTTGTTAGAGGATCTCATAGTGAATGGTAGCTGTAAGCTAACATTGGTTGACTGCTTGGATTCATCACCTTCATGTTTTTTAGTAAGCGGATTCATATTCCATAGATGTTTTCCCATATCACTTACAGATTTTGAAATTTCTCGAAAAAGCATATCATTACGACGCCTATAAAATGTCAAGGCAGTACATTTCAAAAGCATGTCCGAAAAGTTTTGTTTACAATGTTTTTAGAATTTGTTTTATAAAAATTTTATCAAAAATATATAGATACTTAAAATTTTGTCCGGCCAAAAAATATTTACTAATATGTTTTGCGTAACATAACTTAATATAAACTTTTTTTATATATATCATTACTTCAATATTTCATATAGAAATTTAAATTGTGTTTATGGTTGCTATGTTTTTTTTTATGCATTATCTTTTTGGATAATTCATTTTTTTAATAATATACTTTTAGCAAACAAGTTTTATATCTTAGAAAAAAACTACAGGGACCATTATTATTATAGTTAATATATGTTAGTAATCACTAAAAAGTGAGTTTTGTAACTCACATACACCCAGTTTTATTGACAACGCTTATAAGTTGAGTTCAACTAGTCCTTTAGCCATTGCCTGGAAGTAGATAAATGGTGATATAATAGATACTCGATCGTTTCTTCTGCACCCTCATCTTAAAAAATTCTGCAGAGTCAATGCTCAAGCATATAGTCAAAGCGCGGGTACATCAATCCAACAGACACGTTTAATAATCATATAGGTTAGTTGTCATACCACCTTGTTTGCCAAATGATCTCTGCATCGTTGTCTTTTTCTTTGTCTGATGAAATGTTTAAAGCAGCATATGAGATTTAGTATACTAAACAACTAAATATCGTCTTTTCTTGCAGATTCATCTCCGAAACAATAAGTTAATAAAATACACTCGATATCAGTATGACCTGGAACCCAAATTAGTTGATTGTTATATGCTGCACGTCAAAGATAGATAGACTACGTCATTAGAGCGTTAAACACGTGATTCCACCGGTACCAATAAGGTTATACGTTTTCTCCTTGGAAGCAAGCGATGCCTATCTAACACCTCTATTATTCTTTCTGGCAAAGCACCCAGTTGTAAAATCCAACTCCAAATGACTCCAAAAAGTCTGAATACAGCCATTCTACGAGCATTACTTTTGGATTTTAACCGCAGTCACCAGCATACTTCCATTAAAGGGCCAACCTCAATTCTTCAGATTTAGACCTCTGGTCAGTTGCCTTAAGTAAAAATCATTCATTACCATTTAAATACAAACCAGTATCGATAGCTATACTTTATCTCGGAAATATTTTAACTCCTTTTTCGCGCATGCTGTCAGCGCCTACAGCCGTATATTTGCTGCCTATCAGGGTTGATCATACTAACTGTTTGTGATTTCAACCTTATCGAGTAGCACCTACTGAAGTTTAATCAACTCTTACAATAGGCATGTTTTACCTCGGATATATAAAACTCTCCTTTCCCGTGGGGTACATTGGTGTTACAATCAACTCACCATAGCATGATTATCTTAAGATCTACATTAAATCTGCATTTATACGACGTTTTTACTGATTACAATCGCGAATCAGATATTCTGGAGAAATATACGAGTAAAAAAGTATTTTAATATCATAATACTATAGTCATGATATCAAAAGAACAAGTCATTTTGAACAACCCAGTTATCAAAATTTTTTAATTGCTATCTAATTAATCGAAAGGGCACAAAAAATAACGAAAATCAGTTGCTGTAATCTACTTTCGGTTAATAGGATTAAGGAAAAAACAAATACATGATAAACTGCAACTCAATCTGGGTCAATAGTTAACTTATGTCGTGTGAATAGACTCTTGTATAATAATTTTCTTTTCGATTATAATCCTTGCTTTCTCTCACCCTTCTGAAGCATACAAAAATACTGTCTCTGGTATTCTCTTCATACTCCAATATCTTTGGCATGTGCTATCATTTTCAAAAATCTAATAATAATATGTATGACGAAAATGACTATTTATAAAGTACAAAAATAATAAAAAAAAATTTTTTTTTCCATTAATATTTTATTTACTTAATTTTTTCCTTAATTAGTACATTAACTTCAATTACGTATAAACGTAAACACCCTAAATGCCATATGTTCCGTCCGATTCAACAAGAACTAATTGTTATTGGTTATATTTACTGACATACAAACAATATAAAAAAAATCAAAATTAATTTTATTTAAAAAGTACGTCAAAAAAAATTATTCTAGCGTCAAACAAGTGAATAATTTTTTTTATTATTTGCATTAATTTTTTATTTGAACTAAGATTTTTCGTCATTTGAGAGCGCTTTTTATGCCGCGCTATTGTTTCTTTGCTTCTGTTTTCAATAGCAAATATTCAATATTATGTTAACATACACAACACAACTCAATTACGTACATGCAACATGTTCGAATCATACGCAGGCCTCATACAAACGCCAAGCAACAAGCAACAAAACCAACACGAACACACAACGCGGAGAACTGAGACTGAGACGGAGCACAAGCGAAACAGAAACAATGTAAATGAAAAAAAAGCAAAAACGAAATATTTTAAATAACATGCAAGTCAACTCATTCATAAGTGCAAATGAAATGAAAAGTTTTTATCGCATGCTAGTCGCATTAATTATCGCAAGCGAAATAAATTTCTTGCTCTCAACGGCAAAAACTCATCTAGAGGCAAAATATTCAATTATTTATTATTATTATTATTCCTTTATTTTTGGTTAATTTCGATTAAAACATTTCCATGCTTGTGTGGAAAATATCAATTTTTGTTCTCTTATGTGGCGAACCACATAAATAGCTTCTGCTAAACTTCTTTTCCTCGTTCCAACAACAAAATCACGTAAATTCACACATTTGCAGGCGCCAATGTTGTCATATATTTTATGAAATACTTTTTAATAATGCATCTTGTTACTGCCCGGCTGCTGCAGCACTGTGGCAGCACTTTACAACCAGCATATAAATATACACGTAAATATGTAATCATCTAAACGTGTGCACTCTACAAAAATTGGCTTCATTTCCACTGCACAAATGATCAACATAAGTTTTATTCGTGTGTGCCCTTGCCTTTCTCAGCACCAGACAGAAGAAGCGTAAGGCAGAGTCTAGCATTAGAGGGATAAATGATTCAATACTAATATGACGTAGTAACATTATTTCCTTATATACAACTTCCAGTTCTTTCGTGAATCAGGTTTAAGTACCCTCAGTATCTTTACACTCAGTACCGTACTTGGGATTAGTTATGCCTAGCACAGTAAAATCATAGTGTCAATATAATACAATATTATAAAAATGACAAGAGCTAAAACAATGTATTTAAAATTCAGAAGGTAATCCTATATTCACTTTTAATTGTTGTTGCTTTCAATGCAAAAAGAAAACAGCTCTCATGTGACAGCTCTCGTGTGAATCTAGTATTCTTCTTCTTATTTGGCACTAAAGACACTAAAGTGAACCTTGGCCTCCCTCACGATCTGCCTCCATCTGTCCCGATCTTCTGCTACTCTTTTCCAGTTCAGTACTCCAATGATTCTTGCATCACCATACACGTTCTCATCTCACCTTGTTCTTGACCTACCTCTGTGCCTGGTTGTCATCTGCTTTGCGTTGTATGTTATATGCTGCCCATTGTAACCTTTGTGACTTGATGTGCTTCTCTGTATTTTCGTTTCTTAGTAGTTCTTCTATTTCACTTTTTACAGCTTTAAAAAATTTTTACATCAATTTGAATAGGACCGTAGAGTTGACGAACTATTTTTCTTTCGAAAATATTAAAAGCTTCTTCGTCCGTTTTCGTCATTGTCCGTATTTCTGAGCCATATGTAGCTATCGGTCTTATTATTGTCTTGAACATTCGTACAACCAGTATTAATGTTATTTAAATCTAGATTGTGTTATAGTAAAAGTTCGGTGTAATACTTCGTAACCCTACACCATTGGTTCGGTTAAAAAATTCTTCAATACTCTAAACCAATTCATTGCCTCGAAAATCTTTAGTCTACACACGTTACTCTTTCCTCTGTCCATTTCCCCTAGTGGGGCATAGGACCTCGTAGGGCCTAATGCCTGGAAGAACTTAATAGTTAACTTAAGAAGAACTTAATAGTTTTAATGAAAACAATGGATTGCGAGTAACGCAGAAATTTCCAGCAACAAAATTAGACACAAACTTACCAAGAAGGGCATAGTCTCTCTGCTTGCAAGCTCAGAAGAATTTTGTGACTTAGGAAGAGGTAATTTATTTTCACCCATTCAAAACGAAGACGAGAAACAAAGGGCAAGGCCTATACCAAGGCTAACACAATCGAAATTGCTTATATAGACTTTCAACCTAAAACGGTTTAAGGATTGTGTGCAACTAAGTACAGATAATCTAACAATCATTACAGGAAATTATGGTAGAAAATGGGTTTTGCAGGGAAGAGTATGGGACTTCAAAATACTTGCTAGAAGTTTACCCAGCATTAATGCATGCACCCCTCTAAAGTGATGTCATTATCTAATTAACTATCCATTTATTTACAGGCAAATAATTGTCTTAAATAAAAGTCCCTTCAGGTACGGCTCTGTTATAGTAACAAAATATTTGCATTCACTTCTAATGAAGTCTTTTTCGTATTTCCTGCATTATGAACTTATTAATTGTGTACTTAGCCAATATTTTTTTTTATAAAATAAATTGGTTCAAAAAAATTTAAAGTCTGTTTGCTAAAGATTGGAAGTAAATCCATGGATGACTACTGTTAGTCGGTGTAAAAAAATTAATGTTCACTACTACGAACTTATGGCATGACGACAACGATGGTTCAGTATTCGAAGAATGATACCGCTCTAACGTAAAAGAGTTGAAGAAGTTGAAATATTTAAAGGAGTTGAAATAGTTGGAGAAACTGAAGGAGTTGTAGAAATTGAAAAAGTTGAATAAGTTAAAAAAGTTAAAGGAATTGAAGGAGTTAGAGGAATTGAAAGAGTTGAAGAAGTTTAAGGAATTGGAGGAGTTGAAGGAATTGGAGGAATTGAAAGATTTGAAAGAGTTGAAGAAAATGAAAAAGTTGAACGAATTGAAAAAGTTGAAGGAATTGAAGGAGTTGAAGGAATTGAAAAAGTTGAAGAGTTGAAAGAGTTGAAAACCTTGAAAGAATTGAGAGGAAAAAAGGTGAAGGAATTGGG